CATCGTTTTCCATCATTTTCATCCTGATCCTTTTTCATCCTTTTAGGTTTTCCATCGTTTTCATAAGTTCCATGATTTTCTTCACTATTGTCATCATTTTTCTATCATTTTCATTGTTTTTCATTATGTTTCATCCAGTGTCATGATTTCTCATCATTTCTCATCATGTTTCTTCACTTTCATCATTTCTCATCACTTTCATATTTTTCGTCACTTTCTATCATTTTCCATTGTTCATAACTTTCATCATTTTTATTTTTTCATAATTTTCATCATTTTCTATCATTGTTTTCATTATTCGTCCTTCATATTTTCATCATTTTCAAATATGGTCAAGATTGTTCATAATTTCCAGCATCTTTCTATTTATCATTTTCATCATCTTCATCGAACAATGAATGGAAATTGCAAGTCAGGAGAGGGTGGCGAAGAATGAGTGGAAAGAGTGGAAATAGGAAGCGGTGGAGTGGGGGGTGGGGTGGGGAAGATCCCTCCTGGGGGGTCCTCCTGAATGACACGAACCTGAATCTCGAATGTCAGGCCTTCCAACTGTTGTCAGTGCCAGGATTGTGGGCGCGCTCGTGAAGTTCTGGCTAAACTGCGGGCAGAGGCCAGGCATCAATCTGACAGCAGCTTTCCCCAGGGTTGATCTCGAGGTACTTTGCATCGACAGCCTGTTCATGAATCCGGAAGAGCTCCAGTGGATACGGGAAGGGCCTAAAGCCGATCCAGACGTCTGTCCGGGGCATCACTGCGTAGCATGGCTTGCAGATAACGCTCAGTGGAAGGTCCGAAGCCGCGTTTCGTAAGAGCCACCGCACCGTGGGTTGTTGGCCGAGGTCTATGTTTGGCGCGATGTGGACACTTGCGGTCGTCTGCTTCGGCGTCACGCCAGGAGGTGCTTTCCGCCCAGCCAATGCATGACACAGTGGTGCTTGAGAACCTGGCTCCCCGACGGCGGACATCTTGGCTCCAGGTTCAATAGATAGAACCTTGCGAGAAGCGCGTTCCTTAACACTATTTCTTGCAGGGTTACGGTTTCCGAAGAGTTGCATGAGCCCACACAGGTTAAAGCAAACCCCCATCCACAAGCCCTTTGAAAGAGAAAGTGCCCAAGTTGCATGCCGCACAGCGAGTCATGAACGACCCCACGGGAGTTTGACCCCTCATGGGTCGTTGGATCGGATGGAGCCTGGGTCTGCCGGAGCTCCTCCACAGGCTCGAGGTTGGACGTGTCAGAGATAAGCTGAGATATGGAAACTGGAGCAATAGAAGCGGCAGGTGAAAGAACGTCATCGACCAAAGAAGACATGGAGCCTGGTCAGCAGAAGTTTCACGTGATTTGAGAGTGGGTTCCACAGTTATCATGCCACTTAGTCCTGCTTGCCAGCAAAAGGCTGGATCTTTGAAAATCTGCATGGTGTCTGATTTCTTTCATCCTGGCACCGTGGACTGCATCTGGATGGGCATGACACAGCAATCCGGATCTGAGAGGGAGGGATCCAATCAGCTCCTGGCCATCAGGGCTTCACATGTTTTCAGAGCTTCATTGCCAAAAATGCCAAAATCATCCAAAACACAACGGATCAAGCACCAACAGCGTGAACCGCGTGCCAGTGACTGGCGTCATCTGGAATCAGACCGGAGCTGGTACTGGTGCTTCTCAGATTGGAGGGAGTGAAGTGGAAGCAGCAGAAACTGAGAAAGGCAGGAGGCAAGAGATGGGAAGAAGATAGATCGGGTCATAGAGATGAGGCCAACATTAGAACTTTTCAGGGCATGCAACAGGGGTGCTAGCAGGGTCTTTCTCAGACTTTGGTTGTATGCCTTGCAACGGCTCGATGTCAGCAATCAGGCTTGGGTGGTGTCGAGATGCACATTTACCAGCTATCCGAGTGTCTGATCCAACGAGGGCACAAGGTGCTGGCCATAGAAAAGGTAATGTTGCTTCCGAAATGCCAGCTGGCAAGGTTATCGTAGTGACCCACTTCCGTGGTTCTCGAAAAGGTGTTCGCTACATGCGAAATGGCTTGCGCTCTGGATGCAAGTGTCAAGCAGTAGAACCGGGATTGGTCAGGCTGCTTGATCCGGGTACGGCCAAGGAAGGTCTACTATCTTCCATTCTTGCCCTTCCACGACAATTGCAGCGTGGTGAAACAGATGTGGATAACTCGTAGCGGGAACTCGCATGGTTCTGGCTCCTGTTAACAGGTGAAAGCTTGATCGATGCTTTGTTTTCGTGACGCGTTTTCAGGTACTTTTCCAACATTCCTGTCCTTCTTCCCGCTGATTCGCAAAGTTCTGATCCGCGAGCAGATTGACATTGTACATGGCCATCAAGCTACGTCGAATTTGGCGCATGAGCTGCCCGGCCTAGAGGCAGAAACAAACACTGCACTCGCACCGGACTCTCACCTGTGAGCGAATGACATTTTTGATGATCTATAATAGAGAAAGAAGCGCTTGCAGCTCAGGTGCGTTCTTCATGCGCGGACAATGGGCTATCATACAGTCTACACTGACCATTCTCTATTTGGTTTTGCAGATGCGGCTTGCATACACGCCAAAGCCTTGGCATTCTCCAGCCGGCCTTCGGCCCAAGAGTTGCAGCATGCTGATACAGCTCTAGGCAGCTCATTTTTGCCTCTGAGGTGAACAAGCTGTTGAAGTTCTTCCTGACAAACGTGGAGCCTCCAGACTGCAAGAGGATACTGCCTCAATACCGGTCATGGACCGGTCATGCATATGCATGGCTGTTCCGAAAAGGAAGGTCAATTAACTGGAATGCTCATGTAGCAAAGTCAGCGATGGGACTTTGCTGCTTGTTGTTCCAAAGCTTGCATACCCTTTTTTTTTTTTTTTTTTTTCGTGGATCCCTGACTCTCGAAGGCATTGCATCTGTGTGTCCCACACGAGCCGAGAAAACTTGGTTCTACGGGCATCCCTAAATCCAGCCAATGTCTCTGTGATCCCGAATGCCGTGGACACGAGGCCTGGCGTGTATTCTATTGGCCAGAACCAGCATGCAGTTGGAAAGCCTAAGTGCGCTCTTGGAGCAGGCGGTTCACTCCAGACACGGGCAAGCGAGAACCTCCGCCAGCCGTGACTGTTGTGGTTGTGAGCCGCCTCACCTATCGCAAGGCAGTCTCCATGTGTCGCTTAATGTTTGTAACAAGTTTGTGACTAGACGGCTGGGAGTCCATCATAATTCATTTCTGGACAGCCTGTACAAACTGCTGGCTATTATGGTAGGGTGTGGACCTTCTGGTGGGCGCCGTGCCAGAAATCTGCCGAAGGTACGGGGTCTCAGAATCTGCAGGGTCTCCAGACAAGATCGTTTTGCCTTCATGCAATTTCCGGACCTGGAGCATGTAGCATGCAGCCCCAGCTCTGCATTCAGGAACCCGCATGTACGATGGTGGCTTATCTGCACATCCAGGTCATGTCATCATTCCGGCTGAACTCTTCCACAGCAATCTTTCCAATCAACTTGCATGGCAGAAGAGGATTCCCAAGTTTAGCACGCGGTTAGCAGGTGCAGCGCAGGGTGGAACACCAACAAATACTTTGGCCTTTCCATGCACCAGGGGCAGCAGGGGGGTGTTGGCGTGATGTGCCAGAGGAACATGCTCGTGGTTGAACATCGGGAGCAGGTTGTTGGTTCTCAGTTCTTTGTTTTGCGGCCTCTTTTGCCCTCTTTCCCCTTTCTTTTGCAAGTTTGTGCTGTAGGGATAGGAACCTTGATCGGTGACAGCTGTGCTTGTGGGCCAGATTTGCGAGGGACGGGACCACGTGCAGGAGCACCTTTTGTAATCGATGCGGAAAACAGCGGACACTGCCAAATGTTGATTCTCACACCTCAAAGTGTCCGCAATGCAGAGTGGACACCTGCTACACATTCGCAGATATTCTCAGATTATCTGAGGCTCATTGGCGGAAGCGGTCCAAAGAGGCTGCTCTTAGAGGAGATGATTGAGAGAGACGCTTCGGATGCAGTGCCAGCCGAGCAAGTTCCAGCCTCCCATATGTGCTGACACTTGCTGATATAAGATGCCGTCAATGCCCAGGAAAACCTTCACGCCCTTCACTCAGTCTAGACGCATACTGCGACTTGAGCATCAGCTCTTGTTTCTTTAGGATCGGGTTGAGCTCCTGGGATCTGTCCCGCATGAAGACGTTCGCAAGGCGTTGCCATTCACATAGGGCAGCTCTGCTTCGTGGATGTTTACAACAGCTGTGGTCAGGTTCTGGTCCGAGGGAACATCTTCCTGAACACTTCTCTGACTGAAGCATTTTGCATTGCCATTGCAAACCTGCCCTGCTTGGCCGAAGCACACTTCGTCGCATGTTGCTCATGATGTGTGCAGTGCAGTTTCTGTTGGCCTCCAGGTTGAGGCGGCTGCTTGTGGACTCATGGTGGTTTCAACAGATGTTGGGGGAATTCCAGAAGTTCTTCCGCAGAAGCCTCAAGTTTGACCAACTACCATGGGCGCATGGGAAGGGAGAAGGAACAACCAATCAGTACGAGGCGTACATCTTTCACCTAGCCTGTCGCAGCAAAAGCCGAGGCCTCACATGACTCGCCTAGCTGCTCCGCGTGTCGATGCGATTGTGCAGGCCGCAAACATAAGGGAACTGACTGAATGTAAATGCTACTTCACGGTGCTGAGATGTCCTGCAAGGCCTTGGAAGACGCTCTGAGCTTGCTGCCCCCTCCAGAGGCACCAGCACCATGTACAAACAAGCAACAAGCACATGGCTCAGCGGTAGCTTGTCATGACCACTGCACATGATTTGGCAAGCACTAGTCTAAATAAGGAACTGCCTGGCAAGCAGGTAGAAATTTGCATTGTCCTGCCCAATCCACAAAATGCTTCAGGCAGCTGAAGCGTTCCATGAAGAAGTGCATGGAATGTACTCCTGGCGGGTAAGGGCCCCAGATGTGACTTCAAGCAGGTGGAGAGCTGAAAGTCAGAAACCCAACTTATGGGGTTGTATAGGTTATATTAAGGAGTTTACAGACATTCGACTAGACCATTAGGCAGGCGGAAGCCAGAAGCCCAAGTGACAACCATGCATGAGCTCCTGAGCTGCAGGACATTGCCGGAAGGACCGAGAAGGTGTATCTGAAGGTAGTTGCCGGCTCAGACCTTTGATGATATGGAGCTGTGCGGACATTTGTCTGCCATGCTCTGCAAAGTTATCCTGTGATGATGTCCGTGGGTAGATTGTCGCACCAGCACAGACGACCAGGTCAAACTGCCTCGTGTTTGTTTGCGGCAGCGCTTGCTGCGATTCTTGCGTGTTGGATCCGTGTCTGGAAAGCCACGCCCCTAATGCTACATTGTAGCAGGCATCCTTCTGCTATTTTGCAAGTGAAGTCCGCTGCTGTCAAGGCTGTTCTTACTTCTCGTAGCGCTGGACACACTGCTCTTCTGGCTCTTGCAATGGCTCCAGCCCGTGCACGAGGCCATGTTATATCTGTGGGGTAACAAATTGCCGCTAATGTCTTCCTTGTCTCGATGGGTTCTGCAGGTTCTGGAGTTACAAGCAGCAAGCTAGCTGCCCCACACTAGTTGCGACATAAGCACTTTTTGCATTGTTTGAGTCGTCTGTTTCTCTGGTACCTGGTAACCGTTCCCAAGTTTGTGAGCGTGGTCGCCCGTGCAAATCGTTCCTCTGAATTTGTCTGTGAATGTGAGTTCTGTTCTTTGCGCGATGGGTTCTTGGGCTCCGGACCATGCATGCAGGAAAGGTCCTTGGGTCGAAGATGCAGAGCTCACCCTTTGAAAGGACTGTTTGGGGGCTATTTGGACCCTACTAGACCATTCATGGAGCTTCCTTGACCGCGTAGAAAGCTCAGGAATGCAGGGCGGCTGTAGGACGCGTCAAGAGCCTTTAAGGGGCTATGTATACACATTATACACTATGTATTTCTCATCTGTGACTTGGCTCGCTATACACCGTCGCACCCAAGACAAGTGCACGCTTTAAGCCTCAACACAAGGTCCAGCTTCATAGCCTTCATTGGTATTCAAGGTAGCTGGACTTGGGGAATGCCAGGGAGAGGGTGGCCCCCTACCTTCCTATTGCTTGCAAAAAGACCAGGGAGTCCCCTGAATAAGTCATCTACAATTCCTGGCTATGGAGTCAGGTGGAAGCAGCGGTGGATGTGTCTCGTTTCCCAGGTTGTTCAGGCGCACATTGACGTTTAGAGTGATCATGTCCACCATTCTTGCCAGTCATGCAAGTCCTTGCTGCAGGCTCCCGAAGCACAAGCAGTGCGGGCAAAACAGAGATATCTCATTCCTGAGCATGAGCCAAATAAGCTCCTCCCAAGTGTGCCTTTGGGCTCGCAGGTCCCGCACTTCATACTGGAGGGTGGCTCGTATGCGCCTGGACCTCCGCGTTGAGATCTTTCCGGAGGCGCTTTAATTGTCGTTGCAGCGCTGGCCTGCTTGGCCCCTACATTCGACCCATGTCAGAACATCGAAGTGTTTGATGACGAAGACCGAATTTGGGCTTATGCGATTCCTGATCACCAGTGGATCGCGATGCCAGACAGGCTCGGGGGCATTGAGCTGCAAGGGTCTTGCATGGGTGGCAGTCTGTGGCAAGTGAGAGCTGGAGGTTTGCCATTGGGCCGGCTGAGCTTATGCTTGATGTGTACTTCGGAACCTACCGCTGGATGCTGGACAAACGCAGCTGGCATCATTACGACCCGAAGCTGCATCCCGCCACCGGGCTGCAGCTCAGAACAGACGGCGGGTTATTGTTCTGTGCTTCTCAGATCTTCCCAGGCCTGCGGGCGTCGTGGCCACCTCCAGGTACAGCACAGTGACGAGCCCCGATTGCTGCTCCGAGCTGTGGGCAAGCTTTGGCCTTGCCCGGAGCATTCAGCCCGTGGCCTCACTTATCCAGGAGACCGCCTTGCATTGGCATTTGGCACCTTCCTTGCAGGTTTTACCAGGCACTTGCTTTTTGCAGCCTAGCCGCTCGTTCGCGCCGTGATACCGGCTAGTCAGTAAGGCGATGGTGCATCTACAATGAAATAGCGCATCTGCAGCCTTCATGGCCCTCCACCATTTGCCATGTTATTCGCGGATGCAGGACCAGAGAACGTTCTTGAAGCTCGCATGCTGACATTTCAGGCGCGATTGAGACGCGCGAGTCATGAAAGAACCATGCTTGAGTTCAGTCTTGCTTTAGCAGTCGTAGTGTTCAAGCTTTGGAGTGTTGCCAGTCATATTACACGTCACAGCATGGGGGGGCTGGTCGGACATGATCATTTCACAGGAACCATAAGGGGGAGAGTGGGGTCTAATGTGATATCGTTAGGGAAAGGATTCGTAGGAACAACATCATGTTCGGAATGTTTGTTTGGTAATCGTATCAAATCTCCTGACTCTTACCGTACGCTTGCATGTTCATGGTGCGGGCAACATCATGCTTGCATCGAACCTCACTTCGCCCTCGGTAGTGTTCACTACCCTTGTGTGGTCATGCTGCAAATGATTGGATGACATCCTGCTTGGTTGTTGCATGCAACCTCTCTATTCTTTGAAGCGCTGCCTGTGGTTGCAACAAGTCTGGGTCACAGTGCCAAAATCATCATGGCTGTTTTGCTGCATCAGGCCTTCCTCCTCCTGTAGTCTTCAATAGTTTTCACTAACCTTGTGTGGTCGCGGTACGAGCAGAATCATGCTTTTCGTTTGCGTCAAGCCTTCCTGCTACACATGTCGTGTCCAGGATTACGGCGCGAAGAAAATCCTACCTGCTAGTTGCATGGAACCTCGCTACTTTTCCTGTTGTGTTTACCACCCTTGCAAGGTCATGATTCGAACAGCGTCATGCTGTGCTCCTCCTTGCCTCCGTAGTGCTCATTACCCTTGTTGCAAGATCATGGTACAGGAAACAAAATGCAGGATGGTTGCATCAAACCTCCCTGCTCAGCAGTGTTCACTACGCTGTGTGGTCATGGTACGAGCAGCGCCGTACTCGGTCGTTTCGCCGATCTTCCCCGCTTCCATCTGTAGCGTTCGCTGTGGCGGTCCGTTAGCATCCCGCTCGTGGTGGCATCAAACCTCCCCAGCCCCTCCGTGGTGTTCCTCACACGTGCAAGACAATGAGTCAAATCTCATTCTCTTGGTGGTTGCATCACACCTCTCGAGCGTAGATGACCGTAGTGGTCATTCCCGTTGCAGAGACCTTGTGCGGGTAACGCAAGAATGGCTATGGGAGGGGATGTGCTCATGACTTCAATATGTTCTCTCATGGGTTGCTTGACTTACTTGGGCTGACTCCGCTCATCACATTTGCTCGGCCACGGTACGAGCAAGTGTGTAGTAACATCTTTTGACACATATCCTTTTGCTACTTGGTTGTTGCATGAACCTTCTTACTTTTTCTGTGGTGTTCCGTGCCCTCGGTTGCGTCATACCTCCGTACTTGCTCTGTATTGTGCCATTTCCCGGCGAGGTCATGATGCAAATAACATGATGTTCGTGATCACATGAATCAAACCTCCCTGCTTCCCTTCAGTGTTCACAACGCTTGCAAAGTTGTGATGCAAATGAAGCATGCTGGTCGTTGCTTCTCCTTTGTACTGGTCTCTACGAATGTCATCATGCTGGATGGTTGCACTGAACCTGTCCTTCCTTTGTCGTGTTCAATTGCTTGACACGGTCTTGGCACAAACAATCTCATGCTTCAATGAGTGAACACTATTCCTAGGCATGGCCATGGTACGAATGACGTACAAGTAGGGCTTGGTGGTTGCATTGAAGCTGCCTGCTCCTTCTTTATGAGTGCGTGTCCTTGCATGGTCATTGTGCCAGACACATCACGCCCGGTCCCTCCTTTTCTTGTGTTCACTTCCTGTGCGTAGAAACATCATGCTCAGTGCTTGCATCTCAAGAATGCCACCATACACTCGCGCTTAAGAGTTCCTGTTTTGAGTGTAGGGTCCAGGGGCCCAGGAAGTGACCCCAAGCATTTGCATGCAATCATTGTCGTTGCTAATGTTGCTACATCGCGTGTTAATAAGTGCAAACGCTCACAGGGATTAGGCCGCTCAGGCTTGCCATCCTCATAACTGTCGTCGAGCATCGCTTCTTCATCGCTTGTTAAAAGTGCAAATAATCACAGGAATGGACCCTCGGGGTCGCCATCCTCGTAACTGTCCTGGCTTTTGGACCTTCGCATGGAGTGGAGGGTGCAGTGGAGAGTGTAGTTGTGAGTAGTGAAGAGGAGAGCGGAGTCAACATTGGAGTGGGCAGTGGAGTGAGAGTGGAGAGTGGGGTGGAGAGTGGCTTGGAAAGTGGATTGGAGATGGGGGTTGGAACAGTGGACTGGAGAGTAGGGCGTGGAAAGCAGAGAGTGGAGTCCTCTAAAACCTGCTTGAGCTTGTGTTGGCCTCGGCTCGCCCATGAAGTTGCGCTGGACCATGCCCTTGTAGCTCAATTGCGTGAGATTGCTGCAAGATAACTCAAAACGAAGCCGAACAAGAACCTGATGCCTGCAGACTTCCACGGCAAGTCCTGGGATCACGTTCCTCTTGCGAAACGACATTTGTTTCAATCAGCAACTTGGCACGTGTTCTGGTCCCGTGTGTTAGCCGCAAAAGCATTGCCTGCAAAATCTGCGTGCCAAGGTTTGCGAAGATGTGTGGCAGGAGCTGGCAGGCAAAAGTGTGCAGCCACGGCTTTGCATGCCCTGAGAGGACTCTGGATTCTTGCTGCGAGCAGTTTCCAAAGCGCCACCCGCATGGCTTTTGGACAAGCGATTGGAATCATTCCCCCTTCCTTGACGAGCATTTCCAGACGTGGTTGCAGCGTCAGGCGTGCCGTAGCAAACTATTCGGCAGAAGAATCTTGCTTGGGGATGTTCTTCATTGGTCGGAAGCATGCAGGCTGCATTGCCTGGAAGTGAAAAGACCGAAACGCGGCTCTTGAAGTACGATGGGACTTTCGCAGCTGGTTTGGCCGATTTCTTTTTGGCAGTGTGGGGACAACAGGCCCTGAGGGCATTGTGGGCCCGAGGCCAGTTTTGAAGTCAAAAGTCAGACAGAAATTACTTACAGGAGTCTCGCGGCGAGTCTCGCCCGCCGAAGATTCTTGTCCTGGGTGCTGGACGCGGAGTTCTTGCAGAAACTTGGCGGAAGATTTTTTAATCTGCCAGAAGACGGAGCAGCGGCTTTTGAGTGATGTCAAACATGTCAATCTTTTGAAAGGGCACTATCCATAGGCCCAGGTCTGAGGGTCCTCAGTTCAGGCTGTACGGGGTACAATCCAAGGGTCTGGCCCAGATGCCTCAAAGCTGTGTGTCATGACCCTGGTCCGATGACTTGTCCTAGTGCACTCGAGAGTTCCATTGCCTGAAGCTCTTGAGGAACAGCTGGGCCGCTGGGGTCTGCCAGTGGTAGCAGTGGATGGAATCCTGGCTCACCAAAATGCAATGCTGTCACGTGT